GAAACGCACGCTGTTGTGGATCTGGTGGTGTGGTCAGAGCAGCTATACTCTGGATGACTAAATGCAGCCCGTGTCCGTTAATGGCTTCCAGCGCAAACTTGAATGGAGAGAGGATTTGGCATCATTCTCCAGTGGTCAGGATGGCACCGTCATAGAGCTGGGGCTCTACATCAGGTCCGAGGGCCTGCCACCTCGGCGTCCCATTAGAGGGGTCCACCTATTGCTGCCTACTGAACTTCTGTACCAACTCAGCTGCTTTCTTTTTTTTCTCTGCTTTTAGCTCTACTCCTCTGCCTGTTTCTCCAGATTATGAGTTTCCCAGTCACTGTTCCTCAATAGGTGATCTGATTGGGTTAAATAACATTTAATGTGCTCAGTTGCTTCATTTGTATCTGACTCTTTATGACCCTATGGATTATAGCCTGCCAGGCTCCTCTGTCCTGGTGGGTCAGATGGGAAAGGATCTGCCTGCAATGCAGGAGACCTGGGTTCGACCCCTGGATTTGGAAGATCTCCTAGAGAAGGGAATGGCTACCCACTCCAGTAACCTTGCCTGGAGAATTTCATGGACATAGGAACATTTAATGCAGGTTGCCATTATTGGACAAAGTTTTGAGATAATCCCCTCATAGCCTACGGGTTTACCTCTATTTCTCCACAGTCTGGTGTTTGAAGTAGGACAGTTCTTCAGATCTCTCCCATACATTGCAGAATATTCATATCCCTGGTCCTGACACTAAGTACCAGGGCACCGGCCCTCTTTAAGCATCATGCCAATGAAAAATATTCCCCTAACCATTTCCAAACTATGACCTGGGCTACCTTGAGTGTCTTATGGACTTTTTTTTTTCAAAGGAGAAAGAAAGAAAGATTCTGCATCACAACTATCATTGAAATTTAGCTTAAATTATTAAACCAAAAAATTCCTTCTGACCTGAAAGTGTACTTGCATGCATGCTAAGTTGCTGTTGTCATGTCCTACTCTGTGCAACCCTATGGACTGCAGCCAGCCAGGCTCCTCTGTCCATGGGATTCTCCAGGCAAGAATACTGGAGTGGGTTGCTATTTCCTCCTCTAGGAGATCTTCCCAACCCAGGGGTCAAACCCGGGTCTCTCAAGTCTCCTGCATTGGCAGGCAGGTTCTTTACCACTAGTGCCGCCTGGAAAGTGTACTAGGGAACATATAACTGATGACAGTTCTGACTTTTCTTACGGCAATGCCCCCTGGAGAGAAGAAATTAAACCAGATCCCTCTGATCTGTGGGTCTGTGTTAACGATTCAGCTGGGTTTTAGTTTTTCTTCAAGTTCTTACAAAACAGGCCCTTGGTCTCTGAATTGTATTAAGGATCCAGCAAATTAATTAAAACATTCATTTTTATGTTATGTATATTTAGTAACCACTTAAGACTTGAAAGATAGTACCCCCAAAATGGAGTTATAAACCTACCATTTAAAATTTTTAACCTTAATTTTGTAATTCACATAAGCATTAGTTTGAACAGATCACCTCTTTATAATTGATATTCCACAATTTCTAACAGGTTTTGAAGAATAATTTACTTTTAGAAACACAAAAATCTAGCAAGATTCTCTTAACTATATTAAAATTAGTTAACTATATTAAAATTAGTTCCTTCATGGATCTAAAGTTTGGCAGCTTAAGGCCTTTTGTGTAGAAAGCAGCCAAACTTTAGATCCATGAAGGATATAAGTCCTTTTTAAAAAGGTTTTTTTAAAAAAAAAATTTAATAGGAAGAAACTTTTATTTATGTCTTATGAAAATGTAGAAAACTGATGAATACAGAATGACACAAAGCAGAAGTAATGTGGGTTACTGATTTACTACACACAGGTGTTAACATCTGTATTATCCTTAGTTATGTACTTGCTAATTGATTTTGTGATAGCATTTTTATACAAAAATTTTTATAATTAATTTATTTTTGGCTGCACTGGGTCTTTGTTGTCGCACACAGGCTTCAGAAGTTGCAGCACGTGGGATCTAGAGCTTGGGCTCAGTAGCTATGGCACACACACTTACTTGCCCCATGGCATGTGAAATCTTCCTCGACCAGGGATCGAATCTGTGTCTCCTCCACTGGCAGGCAGATCCTTAACCACTGGACCACCAGGAAAGTCCCAGGAAACAATTCTTAAACAATAAAGGTAGCTGATGATATTAAATGTCTCAAGCTCCTTTTGGTAAAATTAAAGATGCTGTCACCTGTAATTCATTCTGGAATGGCATTGCCTCTCCAGAGGCATGTGGAGATACGGGAGATGTTTCTGTTTGTCACAAGGCTATGTTGGGGGAGTGCATTGGTATTTAATGTTTGAGGTCAGGAATGCTAAATCTTAGTAAGATGAAGAATAGTCCTACAAAACCAAGAACTGTCCTGCCTGAAAGCCAACGGTGCTTGCATCAAGAAATACAATTGGGCTTCTAACAGTGATAAACCTAAGTCCACCACCTGGGGGAAAGAGCAAGTTAGTCATCTTCTTGTCAAAATTTAGCACCTTGGTAGGTGCACCTGAAACCCACTGTTCCCTTGCTTCTGAACTTCTTGCTCCAATCATTTTCCCTCACCTTAAGAGGGAGTATCAATATAGGGTCAACTATTTACACTGGAGGGCTTCCCTGGTGGCTCAGATGGTAAAGAATACGCCTGCAATGTGGGAGACCTGGGTTCGATCCCTGGGTTGGGAAGATTCCCCTGGAGAAGGGAACGGCCACCTACTCCAGTATTCTTGCCTGGATAATTCCATGGACAGAGGAACCTGGTGGGCTACAGTCAGACAGGACTGAGCAACTTTCACTTTCACTTCAGTTTCATTTACACTGATATTCTCTGCCAACAGTGTTAAGGAAAACTTTAGAGCTGCTAGTGACATATTCATTTTTATTCCTTCTATCTACTCAATCACCAGTTCTTCAATGCAGTCTTTGAAATGATGTTCATGTTTCTTTGAAATGGTGCTTATGCTTCTGTCTCTCCCTCATCAATCATTCTTCTTCCCCACTGCCTCTGCACTTACCTGCTGGGCGTGTGGATGAAAGAAACAGCCTTCTAAGTGGGCCATTCTTATGCTAATTCCTTCCTAAATCCACTTCCTCCCTCCAACTAAGGCTAGGAGTAAAGTCATTCAGTCATGTCTGACTCTTTGTGACCCCATGGACTGTAGCCTACCAGGCTCCTCTGTCCATGGGACTTTCCAGGCAAGAGTACTGGAGTGGGTTGCCATTTCCTTTTCCAGGGGATCTTCCCGACCTAGGGATTGAACCCGGGTCTCCAGCATTGCAGCCAGATGCTTTACCGTCTGAGACAAGGCTAGATATTCCCTAAACATCATTTCCCCACCTTGCTTTTTAATAAAAAATCTTCAGTTGAGATTTTACTTATCTACCCTTTCTCATTACATCAGAACTTACTAAAGATATTGGCACTTTTTCATCTTTGTATTTTCATTGTGTCTGACACAAAACAGATGCTGAATATGTATTTAATTACTATACAGTTGAAATTTGGTTTTCAGGTTTTAATATTCATGGCCAAATACTTCTTAAAGCTGTTTTGTTTTCTCCTTCAGTCCAAGCCCTTATTAATTTCATTTCCTTTGTACTCATGATATTACCATAGCAAAGAATAGGACACTTAGATTTCTCATGATTTGTTATTGTTGCAAAATATTTCTGCTAATTAACTAGCTCATAACTACATACTAGCAAATGGTAGCAACACTCCAACAAGTCCACAGATAATTGTTTATTGCTTGCTGAAAACAATTCCACAGTTGGTCTTTACCAAATTACATCACGATGTAAAATGGGTGTTTAGGGTTTACAGATCCTTTTATAATGTACCCAGGACTTACAGTATAACCCTATGCTTAATGAAAATAATAGAACACCTGTCATAAGATTATAGGAAAAAACCTGTAAAGTTGATAGAAGTTTCCCATTACTATAGGCCACGAGTCTTAACAACAGACTTTTCACTTAAGATGTATGAAAAAGATTCAGCTGGATAAATGGTGTATCAAATTGCATTGGTTTATACTTAATGAATCCTTCATTTCTGTGTTTGTTTTTGCATCTAGATGATCCTTAAATACTCATTCACTCTCAGTTTCTAAGCAAAGTACTCAATTAAACACTGCTTCCATATCTGTAGAAGTTCAAACAGTGTACAAGTCACAATTTCTTTGTATTTATATGCATGTATCCGATATGCAAATATTATAGAATTACTGGTTTTAATTTGATATACCAAGGAACTTTGCCTGCAAATCCCAAGAATTCTTTAGAAACAGTACCAGCCCTGAGAGCAACCAAGCCTTTAAAAATATTTCTATACTTTATTTCTTCCTATCTTTTTTAAATGAAGAAGGAAAGCATTTTTAATCTCCATTCAGTTACATAGAATTGGAATACTGCTATGTAACATAAATGATCATACTAATGCACAGGAATTGAAAGTCAAGCATCTTTGGTTGAGGCTGAATTGAACTAAGTCTTGATCCTGTAAACATTTCCATAGGAGGTAGCCATACACATTTGACTTATTGTCAAATAAGGGATAGTAAACAATGATTCTGCGATCCTAATAAATTAAAAGTATTTTAAAAGCATTAAATAAATGTTTCTGTTTTTAAAAAACCAAAAATGAAACAGCACACAGATTTTCAATAAATTAAGAAGAGAAATATTAAATCTTTATAGTTGAAATGTCTGCATCTTCAAACCTCCATTGGTTCATTTGATAATGTTTGATGCTATAATTAATAATGGGACCACATACATTCTAAACAAATTGTTTGCAAGGCAAATTCTGCAAGTATTTCCATTCATTATGGAGTTGTCCACAGTTTTCTACCAGTGACCTGAAAAACAATATCCTGGCACTGGATAGTCCATTGTCTTTCTCTGATGGCAGTCTGAGTAGATAGGATTTGAATGGTAGAGATTTTTTAGTTTCAGACCCCACCCAACAGTCTTGCTTTAAGTGCCTCCAGCTGCTGTTCCCATGAACACAGTGTTGATTGGTGGTAGAGAGGATACCATTTCTCTACCATTTGCTCCATGGGAGTCCAGGGGTTCTTGAGCTGGATATTGATTGGAAGTTCCATACATACACTGGGAGGAAGAGGAAGGAACTGGGGTTTGCAGGCTGGATGCTGTAAGGGAAAATATAATTAGCAACTGAAAACAGACTTTTTCTTTTTTCTGTGCCACTCACTTTAAGCCTTCATACTTACTTGTGCATTTAGCATATATATCTGTACTAAATTTGAGTGTGTATGGTATCTCAGAGCAATTCTCATCTTTTCTTTCATTTCCCCCCTTGCATTTTCCTTCTTCAACATACTTCACAAAGAAAACTCAATTTCAAACGTAAATTCAGACAACTTTATCACCACAATATACCCCCAGTCCACTTCCTCTTTCCATCTGCATCTCCACAACTGGAGTTCAAACTACCATCTTCTCTTTACCTGGACTAACACAGAGGCCTAACTAGTCTCAGGACTTTGTTTGCTTCACTTTTCACCCTATAGAGAGTGGCTAGGATAGTCTTGCAGAAGTGGATATCAAATTATCCCTCTTCTAAAATGCTACAGTGACTTTCCATTACATTTAGAACAAAATCCAAGCTCCTTGCCCTGGTTCATAATACCCTAGGTGAATTGGCCTCTGACTTCTAATTTATTTTACTCCCCTTTCTTCATTCACTATGCTCAAAACACATGAGCCTTCTTTCTACCCTTTGAAGCCAAAGAATTCTCATTTCAGAAGCCATGCAACTTGCCATTCCTTCTGCCTGGAACTTGCACCATCAGATCTTCACATTACCTCCTTCTTATTATTCAGCTTTCAACTCAAATGTTTCTGCCTCAAGATTCCTTTCCCAACTATTTTAGCTAAAGCAGCTCATCCATTACTATCTGTCATTTTACCTTAATATTTAGTTGACCTGAGAGTATCTGAAATTATCTTTTTTAATGCATTTAGAAAATATTTTCATTGCTTGATCTTTCCCTACGAGAATGTAGACTTCTTACAAGCAGGAACTCTGACCTGATCACTGCCATAACTGCACACCTAAAATGAGGATTGGCCCATCACAGTAGGTTCTCAAAATTGTTCACTAACTCGCTCACTAGCACTACATTTCCTGCACTTTTGGTTGCTGCTTTCTCAGTACTGTTTTTCTTCTTTTTCTAAGTACCATCATCTCTGTCACTAAAAAGCAGGTTCATAACTAAGGACATTTAATTATAGGTCCTAACTCCCCTTGTGATGCTTCCCAGGAGGCTCAGCGGCAAAGAAACTGCCTGCCAGTGCAGGAGACTCAGGTTCCGTCCCTCGGTGGGGAAGGTCTCCTGGAGAAGGAAATGGCAACCCTCTCTAGTACTCTTGCCTGGAAAATCCCATGGACAGAGGAGCCTGGTGGGCTACAGTCCATGGGGTCACAAAGAGTCGGACACGACTGAGCAACCGAGCACGCACACACACACCCACCTTGTGGTGCTCAGTCCGCTCACTCTATTCCCTCTTTTCACCCTGAAGTCTTCTTTGCAATTCACTTACAGGCCAGCTCAGACAACTGAAGTTTAGAGTCTCTCCTATACCCAAACTATGTTCTATCAAGGTGTCTACTATCTCTACAAGTAAACAGAACTAATAGTAACAGCGGCAACACGGTACATTTTAGTCTCACAGCAAGGAAACTTCCTGAAGTGGAACTTTCTGCTTCATTAGAGTAACCCAGAAGCAATGACCATATGCAGATGGCATGAGATGAGCTAGCAGACTCTGCTCAGGGAGCATCTGTAATGGTCATAGGAAGGGAAGAAGTGCTTCCTATTGAATTATTGGAAAAACATGCTGAGAGAGGAGAATGGGCTTTATTCAGTTTTCCCTTATGCTCTGTTTGGGTTGTCTAATCACATTTTATGTAAAAATGAGAAAGTGATAGTAACTTTCCTCTCAAGGTACCATTTTTAAAAACCTGGAGTGGTTTTATGTATCATAAAAGATTATGGTGTCCAAAGACAGCTCTTGTCACTGGCCCTGCTTCCAATGGTGAATAAGAGAAAGTGAGAAAAATATATCATTATTGCCCTTACAGTTTTTTAGACTACTTTTAATAGGTTATATGAAATATTTTCATACAAATTAGATGCCAGAGATTCTGTTTGGAAAGAATAACAGATCTAGCAGTAGGTTGCATGGTGACATATATATTGAAAAATGGTTAAGACTGTTCCTAACAGATTCAAAAACATAACTTCAGATCTAAACTGATAAACCAAAGGTGGGAACATGAGTACCCAGCTAATACTGGATAGCTGAGGTTAACAACATTTTAAAAATATTTTCAAAAACTATTAATATAATTTACCTACTATGGGAGTTCGACATGCAACTGAAGGTGGTGTGTCTGCATAAAATGAACTGGTCTGCTTTCTACTACCATCATCTAAAATGTTGAGCGGATCATGAATGTCACCATATGGAGGCAGGGAGCGAACACTGCTGATGACAGAAACGTGTTGATTCACCATCGATCCAAGTCTATGAGACTCTGGGTAGTTGACGTTGCTCCCATAGTACCCTATGACAGAAAGTGTTGAGAAAGTAGAGTTAACTTATTGCAAATAATATTCAGGAAGAAAAATGAAAGAACAAGGTAATAGGAGAGATCCCTAGAGATACCCTACTGTAAATACTACATTGACATCAACATTTACAATACAGTTGGATGTGTGCTTACATATGGATATGGTTCACTATGTTGTTTTTTTGTTTTTAAAATAAGTAGGAGTTATCATATTATTAATTTTGAGATATAAGACTATACCTCTCTCACATTTCCCTTCTCTAAATTAATAGGATCTTATGATGCCTATGAAGACAAAAGCACTATTAGCCTTTCACAAAGATTACTCTACTTATCAAGTACCAATTTTACTGACAGATTCATGTTTCTGGGAGGAGGACTGGTCTATGCTAAGGAGAGGAGCAACAGGATAGCCACTTTGGTGGCTGAATAAGTCCACATAGCTTTTCAACTGAGTAGTTTTACCTGTTTTACCAGCCCAACAGGAAGCACTGTCTGGGTCCTAATCTTTAAGATCTGCTGCTAGTTCTCTGGAAGAAACATTATTCACTAAAAATATCTTCAAAGGACAGAACATTCTTCTTTGGGGCTAACATGGTTTGACAATGTTTTCACCCTGTGTGGCATTTAGAAGGGCAATTGTAATAAAGCCACAAGAATTAGTGATATGCTTGTGTTGTGCTGTGCTTAGTCACTCAGTCGTGTCTGACTCTTTGTGACCCCCATGGACTGTAGCACACCAGGCTCCTCTGTCCATGGGGATTCTCCAGGCAAGAATACTGGAGTGAGTTGCCATGTTCTCCTCCAGGGGATATTCCCCACCCAGGGATCAAACCCACATCTCCTGCATTGCAGGCAGATTCTTTACCATCTGAGTCACCAGGGAAGCCCCAGAATACTGGAGTGGGTAGCCTATGCCTTCTCCAGGGAATCTTCCCAACTCAGGAATCAAACTGGGGTCTCCTGCATTGCAGGTAGATTCTTTATCAGCTGAGCTACCTGGGAAGCCCAGGGATACGCTTGTACATGGCTGAAATTAGCTCCAAATGTCTAAGATTCCATGATCTTGAGAAAGTTCTACACAGGATGACGTGCTGTTCACCAGAGATGGAACTCAGTGTCTGGTTTTGCCTAACTGCCATCTCAGGAAAGGAAAAATTCTTTAAAAATTTCAATACCATTAGGTGAATTAGGAGGCAGTGTTGCTCCTTGGCAGCTGGCAGCCCCTGCATTGCTCAATAAATTGAAGCCTCCTGTATTTAAAAACTGCAGACTATGTGGATCTTGGCCATGTGGGGATGGTCCATAGCTGGAAGGTGGCCGAGAATTATATGGGGACCCAGCACAGCTGCCACTGAAGAAGTCTCTAGAAAGCTGCTGGTCACTCCAGACCATGCATCGGCCATGCTCCGGGCGATGAGGATAGAGTCCTGATGGGGTGTGATGTTGTGTCCTAAACACAGTCTGATAGTTAGAGTTGGTCCCATAAAAGTCATGGCTGGCTTGAGGGAGAGTCGGATAAATAGGCTCTGAGTATGCTGAGCAGTGTGATGGGGCTGACAGCACTGGGCCCACACTCGGGGGTCTCCCTGCCATTGGCCCTTGATTAATGACGCTTCCTCGGCTCGCCATAGCTGGAGAAATAGGTGGTGTCATCAGATGACCAGAACTCTGGGAAAGCTCCATTTGACCTGGAAAAAAGTCATCAGAGCATTCACTAGTGGCAGATTAAAAACAGATGGGCTCACAACATTTAAAATTATGCAAAAGATTTATTAATATGTCTTTTTTCCAACTTAGATCATTTCTAACCTCCAAAAATAACAGGACTGGGGAAACAAAAAAACTCTAAGCTTAAAAATATCATCACAACATGTATGTATTTCACAACAGTGGCAACTTTTGGAGTTACTGACCATGGAGAAGAGCCTGGGAAGGCTTCATCCTTCCATCTGTATAAAGATGATTCTCTAATCATCTCAAGCTTGGGAAGGGCAAAGGGTCTGCTGTTTACCTTTCTCTGTAATTAAAAAAACACACTGAATGCTAAATGGTTTGATGTATAGAAGGGATATTGTAGATCCCATCACTTCAGTCGTGTCCAACTCTTTGCGACCCTATGGACTACAGCCAACCAGGCTCCTCTGTCCATGATATTCTCCAGGCAAGAATACTGCAGTGGATTGCTGTGCCCCCCTCCAGGGTATCTTCCCAACCCAGGGATCGAACCTGCAACTCTTATGTCTCCTGCATTGGCAGGCAGGTTCTTTACCACTAGTGTCACCTGAGAAGCCAATGTATAGTGTGAAAGAAAAACACAATAATGTCAAAAAGACCATTCAAAACTTCATGCAAACTCCACTGATGAGCAGTGAGCTATGAAAGCTACCAAATCCCTGGGCCTCCAGCTTTCCATTGTTGGAATTAGGCCCCTGAACTATAAAGCCTTTCCAGGGTTAAAATTCTGTGTGTCCAACAAATAAGGTATATAGAAGGATTTCAAGGGAGACATAAGGCAATAAGTGGATTTAAAGTATTATCTAGTAGCTAGTTTAAGCCATAAACATTCAGACCAACAGGGAACCATAGACCAAAGAGAAAAATTTTTGTTGATGGTTATCCTAAAATAGCTGAATCTTTAAAAAAAATTTTTTTTTATTCATTTGGCTGCATCAGGTCTTAGTTGCAGGTCCCCTGAATTTATTTTTTAATGGAGGACAAATAAAGTCTCCTCAAAATCCATAAATAAGCAAGTAGCTCATATTTTTTGACTTTCAAAGCATCTTAAGGATTTTGTGGACACCTAATCTATTTCTTTATTTGACCAAGTGAGAATAACCAAGTATTTGGACTTCTGATATAACTAGAAGAGTATGTTAAAGTGTGATGTCTGTCTTTAAAATGGTGTTGATAAAAATATGAATGACAAATGTTGACAATCACAAAAATATTATAAAGCTTTATTAGAAGTCATCGGAGACAAGACTTTTTATTATTGGAACACCTGGAGGTTATTAGCTTTTAAGAAAACAAAGGAATAGGTTCCTGTGAGACATATTGAAGCCTAAGTGATGTTCTTGGTTGTCTCATAGCCTACCTGGAAGTGGCATGTTGTCTGTATTCCCAGCAGGGAACGGGTGCAGAGCGGAGGTTAAGCCTCCAGTTTGGCTAGATGACAGAGGAAGATAGGCTGTCTCCATGTGGCTTTCATTCTTCACAGTATCGCTGGGAACAGTGCTTCCTTTATTACGGTTGGCCAGAAAGCATGAACTTGGAGAAGCAGTGAAGGCAGCTTTACTTGCATCTGGAAAGTTTTTTTAAAATAGGAAAGCTAACATCATTACCACATTCCTAGTAGATAAGCCCAAGTGAAAAATAAAACAAACAAATAAAAATAAAAACTGTGAATGTTCTAGGGCTGTGTCATAAATCTGGAAATTTTTGAGAACTGTTTTCCATGGGAAATAAGACTGGCAGACCTTTGGTCTTGGCAGAGGTGCTGGGCTTTGTTAACCATATACTTATGGGTATAGGTATTTTCTTGTTTTTGTTCAGTCACCCAGTCATGTTCAACTCTTTGTGACCCCATGGACTGCAGCATGCCAGGCCTCTCTGTCCCTCACCATCTCCCAAAATTTGCTCAAGTTCATGTCCATTGCATCAGTGATGCCATCCAGCCATCCAGGTGTTTTCTTAGGGGTACTAAGTAATCCTGTAGTGAATAGCCTTCAAAATGCGAGTCATCACATGCCGAATAGATGAGTTTCCTTCCCTCTCTAAATTCCTATAGAACTCATCTCTGCATCATTTATAAGACCTGTTGTCTTGAATTATAGTTATATTTGTGTTACAGTCACTTCTCCAATTTTATCTAAGTTCTCAGAAGTTATGAATATCAATTTTATTCTTCAGAGTTTCCAGTTGACTACTTGACTACTCTATGGACCAATGGAGGAAAGAAGAAGTAGGGCTCTCTTGGTGTTAGTATTCTGTGTCAGTAGTGACAATTTGGTGGGGAAAAATCTGAGTCTACTATCAATCCACTTAACAGGTGTGCTTACAAATTCCCGAAATTAGGTTTCAACAAAGAAAGATGCAAAATAAGATGTACATTTTAAATTACCTGAATTCTTCATATACTTGTCCAATAAATTCTGTAACTCCTGCTCCTTGTCATTATTAAACTGGGTCTCCATGGCCAGCAGAATATATTCATCAAGAAGCATTCGGATCAAATGGAAAGAACCTTGTTTATGGATGAGGAATGAGGAGAGGGTATTGCGAGATGAAATAAGGAAAAGAAAGAGAAGGAAAGAAAAAAGAGAGAAGTTAAGTTATCTTTGTGACCATCTCGCAGCACTTTACAAGGAGCAACTGAAATAAACAAATACTTGTTGGACTTTAAATGACCTGCTAAGACCAACATGCTTAACTTGGGTCTCTAATCTTTTTGTGAACCGCCTGCCCAGCTCCCTGTGTGTACTGTCCTGCCAGCTCTTTGGCCACTAATTACATCAAAGGAAAATACGGATGAAAGTGAGACATGCTTTATGCTTTAAGAGGGCATACATTGGAGTGTGATAAGCTTTAACCTGGGGAGAATGAGCTCTACTCTCCTCTATTTCTGTTTACTTTGGACTAAATAATTAGACAATAGCCAACATGATCTGAAAAAAATATCAAGTGAGAAGATGCCTTTTTCTCCTGAAACAAAATGTTCTTTCATTTAAAAAAAGAAAAATAAAAAGTAATTTTCATGTGGAAGATGTCCTGGAAAACCTTAAACTTCTTTTATTCAATAGATTTCTCAATGAGTTCTTTTTAATAATAAAGTCAGGATTAAGTATTGTATAATTTAAGAAACCTTAAGTATAAGCAACAAATTTCAGACACTAGATAATATGTTTTGTTCATCCCTCAATACAAGTTCACCAATTTAATCTAATTTTGTTGGAAATTAAATGAAAACAATTTACTTAATTGTAACTTATTTTATAATGTGAAGATTTTGCAAAATGCAATTACAAATGCAGAAGTACTTTCCAGTAGATAGCATTATAACTACCAACAAAGAATCTGAGAAGTTTTAGGAAAAAGAAGGTATTCAACTTTTAAATAAGGTAACGACTCAATTTTTTCATAAGTCATGTGGATTGGGAAAGATGGTTCAGAAACATATGATAGCATGTCTTCTAATCAGCTCTTTGATTCTTGGAATAAAGCTATGTGGGTTCCTGGAAAAGATGCAGACATTTACCATACTGCAATGAATAGTGCCTTTGGAAAGTAATGTATGGATTATTGTTTATTTGCTTGTTTAACAAAGGAAATTTATCTAAGCACTGATGGAATGTAATGGTTACAGCTACTATTTACTGTGTATACCAGTTGCTGGCAATGTATTTTTATATATGTCACCTCACTCAATTTCCTATGTAACCCAATGAAAGAAGTATTCTCCCATTTCTACAAAGAGCAGACTAGCTTGGGTAGAAGCAAACTCAAAAAAAAGCAGTGTTAAGGATTTAACTCTGCAAGTGGTCTGACTGTAATACCCAGGCTAATAACAATCATTGTCTACTGATTTAATAGTCAGATTGGAGAAGTGACAGTGCCACACGTTTAATAACTGATAGGAAATGTGACTGAGGAATGAATGATGTAATTCATCTAGAAGAGTTTCATAAAGCACGTAAGATACCAAAACTGGATGCATTGTTCAAGGTGAGATTATGCATTACTCGAGCACCAAAAAAGCTCCACTTTAGCAGGAAGTCTTGAGCCCTCTTCTTTAATGATCTCCCATTTTGCTTGCTGGTCTAAAAGTAAAGCAACAAAAACGTAACTATAAAATCTCATCTCATCATTACATGCTTCGTGCATAAGATCAAGAGGTAGATAAACTGACAGATGGACAGATGGCATAGCATGCCTTTTATTTCATCAAACAAAATGATCTGTCCAGGGATTTTAATTTTCATGTCTTTGTTGTCATTTCTCAGGTTCATAGATCTTTATTCTGTATGGTTTTGTTACCTAACAGAACTGGACAACAAAATGAAATAATTTACAAAATATTTTCTCTCAATTTTCCTTTGACAGAGCTTTAAAAAGAGCAGAAGCGAAGTATGAAGAAAGGGTTATATATTTCTGTGAATGATTAACTGACTTCTCTGGTCCTGAATGTTAATCTGTTTTCCTTCCAGGAGAAAAAAAAGTTCCTACACTATAACTAGTTTCCTTGATATGGAATGGCTAACACCAATTGGTGATGGATATATTTGTTCTTATGGCCTTGTGTGATGGATGACTTGAAGGTTAACTGAAAGAGTTGAAGAAACCACATACAAAACACAAAATACTGAGCTCCCGGAATTAAAAAATGCAAATTACTTAAAACTATATCTTCTGTCACCTTTTATGAAAACATACTTTTTAAGAAAAGGGCCAGATCTTTCCAGTTTTAAGTTTATCTTTCACTACTGATGTTACTCAGTTGTAAACTTATTGACTGATAGCGAAGGCACAGTGGCTTGTAGTCTGTCAGAAAACAATAAATAAAATCCAATTCATGTCCAATGTTCTCAGATCTGCCGTATTTCTAATCTTGATATTTGACTTACCTTATTGGTAGGGTTTCAAAAGCTTTTCAAAGCATTATTACACATATCCTATCACCACCCCCCACCACTCAAGAAATTACAGCCAGTTTAGCATTTGCCATTAACAAAATCTTATTTTCTGAATATATCATTGAAAAATACCTTAATAACTCTCTGCTCCACCACAGTATCCAACCATTCAATGAAAGCCTCCACAGTGGCATTCTTCTTAAGGAGATCTTTCAGTTCTTGGAACACTGTGATCGAATCATCTACCATGTAAAAAGAAAAAAAAAAAAAAGAAAGCCCAATATTGTATTCTATTTTGAACCCAAGATAAAACCTAAAACTAGAATAACTGGTAATTTTATAGTATAAAAGGGAAAGACAGGTAGATTAAACTAAATGTGTTAAAGAAATAAATTTCATACCCTGCAAACTAACAAAAAGTCCTTAGTTCTCTACTCTTCAAAATTTTAGTCAGAAATGTATATGTCTTGTATATACTGAAATGCAGGTTTATATATTGTACACTAGGGAGGAATAAGTTGTCAATAGAGATGATAATTCATTTGGAATGCAATGCTTTCATTAAATGCAATGGATTAGTTGAAAGTTAATGAATGAACTAAGCTAGACTTGTTGATTTCCTGCTTTCTGAAATACCCTTTATCTTTAGCAAAAATTAAATTCTGCCCTGCAGAAATGAGCCACTTAAATGAATAATCTTTTATCATGTAAAAGTTAAAGGGGCAGTTTAGGACTGTCATTTTATTAAACAGTTTGAGGTTTACTGAATCCCAAAGGGTAATATAATTTTGTTAGGAAACAGAAAGCAGGACTGTCCCGAGAGAGCAGTGAGTTATAGCCTATAGGAGGCTGCATTTTTTTAGTCTTTTCAGAGAGAAATGGTAAGAAAAACAGTTGGTTGTTATCCCTGGGAAATGGAGCCTGGTTGTATGGTCACATATACCTGCTTGGTAAATGTCAGACTGTCCAAACCTAAGCAGATCACTTCTGCTTTGAAAAACAGGATTGTTTTGAGATATCATTTTGATATGCATTGTACACCATATGATGCCAAGAGTGGAAAACACATGGAAATGCATATGCATGTAATATAAAACTGGAAGAAAACTCAAAACCATTTTGATTATTCCCAAGTTTTTTTCTATTTGGGTTATTGCTCGACAATGAGATTATAGATGGCTTTTATTTTCCTCTTAACATTTCCCAGGTTTTTCACAATCAGTAAGTACAACTGCTTTAAAATAGAGAGCAATTTTTCAAATTAAAAGTATTTCTATAAACCAAGGTTTCTCAAACAGATATGATTTTGTAGTCCAAGGGGACACTTGGGAATGTCTGGAGACATATTTGGTAGTCACAGCTTGGGGTGGCTGCTACTGGCATGTAGGGGATAGTGCCCAGGGATGCTGCCAAACATCCTTCAATACACAAGACACTCCCTGCCCTGTCCCATCAAACAGTTATCCAGTCCAAGATGTGGACAGCACTGAGACTGAGACTCCCTGCTCTAAACCAAGAGAGAAGGTTTACATTCAGTGTAGACATCAGACTCCGTGTCCGTGCTGCCCGAAATGGTGAGAAGGGCCTGAGATCCGATGCTATTCAAGTCAACCTTTTCAATATCAGACACCATAGAATTCACAACATGCTGGTCAAAGAGAGCTGGTCTGGCAATCTGCATAAAGAAAGTAAAAAGAATACTAAATTATGTCACTGACCCTCCATCTAAAGAAAAATTTAGCTTCTAGAGAAATAATTCTCTGAGAGAAATGTATCATAAATAACTCATTTCTTATTTTAAAACTAAAGCAGGAGCTGAGACTCATGGTCATCTCTGTTAAAGGTTTGAAAACTATTTTTGGAATAAGAAAATATATTTTTTTATCCATGGTCATAAAATAAGAATTTCACAATGTTATATTTCTTATCTGAAGCTATCCTAAGCAAGTCTTTCAAAATTTCAGAGGCTGATGACCTTCATAAAGCAAAGGATCATTTGAGGAGAGGGGAAGTATATTTTAACACTATACAAACACATAACTCTAATTTCAGAATTATTTTTTTCCTCCTATTTAAGAGAACTAAATTAGAAGTAGTTTAAAATGACTTCCTTGGTGGCTCAGATGGTAAAGCATCTGCTTACAATGCGAGAGATCTGGGTTTGGTCCCTGGGTCGCAAAGATCCCCTGGAGAAGGAAATGGCAACCCACTCCAGTACTCTTGCCTGGAAAATCCCATGGACGGAGAAGCCTGGTGGGCTACAGTCCATGGGGTTGCAAAGAGTCGGACACGACTGAGCGACTTCACTTTCTTTCACTTAAAATGTGTTGTGGGTTTTAAAATATCAGATGGGCTCATTCCCCACAATCTATTAATTTTATTAATTAGATTTATTTATTAATAGAAGTCATGTGGCAAATAGTTTTACATTTTACATTACATTCAAAAGGTTTTTTTCTCTTTTTACTTTCTATTGTGAAATAATTTTAAATTTACAAAAAAGTTGCAAAAAATAGTGTAGAGTATTTCCACATACTCTCTACCCAGCTTCTCCTCACATCATCATTTTATATAACCATTGTATATTACCCAAATCAGTAAACCAACGTGAGTACAATACTAGTAACTAAACTACAGGTATAATTCAAATTTCATCAGTTTTCCCACTAATGTCCTTTCTCTGTTCTAGCATTCACTCTAGGATCTCACATTGGATTTAACTGTTGTCTATTTTGTCCCCAGTCTCTTAAAGTTCCTCAGTCTTTGCTAACAAATGATTCAATTTTGATTTGGTGACTCAGATACCCTTGGCTGACTGTTGTACCTGTGCAAGATGTAAGAAAGATGTTTGGCGTTTCAGAGATGATACAAATCTTCTCACAATAGGTATTTTCTTGTCAGTTAGAGCTTCTGGCAAATTTTCCAGGGATGAAACAACCCATTGTTCCCAATTCTTAGCAAAATTTCTTATGTCTGCTAATAAGCTATAAAAATTCCCAAAGAACAAAAAACTCTGTATTAAATACTAAATAGTTCACAATGCATTAAATAAAAGCAGTTTGATAGAGGTGTAGTATTATTCTGTGATTCTAAGAACATGACTAAAGTCAGCCTAGGTCTGCCATTTATCATCTTGATCAAAATACTCAATCTCCTGAAACTCTAATTTCCTCATCTGTTAAATGGGAATAAGAATAGTATTCATGTCACAGGACTACATGAAATTCATGAGGACTACATGAAATAATTCATGGAAAGTGTTTGGGTTAAAACTTGGCAGGCAGAAAGTGATCAATAAAGGTATACTTTATTATTAATATTGATAATTCAATCATCTTCTGTAAAATAGTTCTGGGAAAAGGTAAGTGTGCATTTGATTGTACATATCATGGCTTCTTGAGAGACATGCATAGGGATCATAATGCCATTTCAGGTATTTAATATTTGTTTCTAGTAACATATTCCTATAATTCTTCATGATTCCTATATTTCAAATTCCTAATAATTCTATAATTCAAATATAACTATAGAATAAATTACCACAAATTATAGGACCTCATTTAGAAAATTGCAAATGTTGGTTGTGTATATATGAGAATATACAAAAATTTATAAATCAGTCAACAACCAACATATGACATCGTAACAAAACTGATCTAAAAATATTTAGGATGGGGCATATGTTGGGGAGCAGTGACATGGTAAAGCAATAAAAATAGGCAGAGTTTGGAATTAAACAGACAATTAAAATCTAGGTTCTGCTTCCTACTAATTTGGGCAAATAAATTAACTTCTTTGTACTCCCAGGTTCCTCTTTGTGAATTTGGGATCATAACAGTTTGGAATAGTGTGACAAGTTGTTTTCCAAAAAAAATCCAATTGTTCAATGAAAAGGAATTGATTAAATATAGTATTTTTCAGATGCTGGATGTCTATCCAATCATTTAAAAAATGTTCACCTATATTTGTGATATGGAAATATTTTCACAGTATACTTCTATAGTATGTGTACTATAATTCCATTTTTTAACATTCCTAGAAAAAAGTTTGTGAGATAATAACCTGACATTAAAAATCTAAGATTATCAGTTGATTTTTAAAATGTACTTATGCATGTTTTTCATTTTCTAAATGAATACAAACTACTTGCATACTTAAGAGATAAATATATAAATAGTACTTTTCAGGTTGGTTGTAGGAATTAAGTGAAATAATTTAGGTAAGATTAAACTCCCACACTATGTTTAATAAAATTCAGCTGTTACTACTTGTTAGTTACATGGCTGAATGGCTTCCCAAGTGGCTTAGTGGTAAAGAATCTGCCTGCCAATGCAGTAGATGCAGGAGGCTTGGGTTCGATCCCTGGATCAGGAAGATCCCCTGGAAAAGGAAATGGCAACCCATTCCAGTATTCTTGCTGGGACAATCCCATGGACAGAGGAGCCTGGTGGGCTACAGTCCATGCGGTCGCAAAGAGTTGGACATGACTTAGTGACGAAGCATGGCATACACAGCACATGACTGAATGCCTGTCACTGTGTAAGCAAAGACATTCTGCTGTGACACAGAAGTGTTGTCTACCTAATTCAGAGCTCAGATTAGATGTTTAAAGATTATATATCAATAATTACAAGAAACTATTGACAGACCAACTACTATTTAAATAAACAAACTAGTCTAGAGGAAAAGGTAAATAAAAAATAAAGATTGTTTTATCAATCATCATGTATTTATTGAGAACCTATTATCCCCGCCTATGTATATTTGTATCCCCAAATACTAAAATAAATTTCATTACTTTATTAGAATTTATTGTTTTTTAAATTGGCTTTGTTTCAAGTTTCCATTTTTTTTACATCAGAAAAGACTTTGTGAAAAATCTTCAGGCATCATTTCCATTTGAGATCTTACTCCTTTGTTAAAAAGAAGGTAATAATTCCATTATGCTACTTTCTGATTTTCACAATTAAGACTAAAGTATAATAAATATAAAACAATTTTCCTTATGCTTTTATTATTGTAGTTATTTTCCACAAATTATCCCATTTATCTCTCTCTAGCCAGTTTCCATTGAAGAACTTCCTCAGTATCTTAAAGTCAACTCTACTTAAATATTTATTTTTCACTTGGGCAGCTCTCAAAGGGATTTCAGGATTGTCCCATCAATTTTTTTCATTGAGGTTTGAATATAAAGACTGAGGCACATCTCTTCAGCTAATACAAATGGACAGGAGCAGGAAAATAATACTGGAAAATGAATGAATTTCTACTTAATGTTTTGCTTTACTATAATGTATAAGGTTAAACTCTTTACAAGCAAGTATCATATTTTATTGACGGAACCTACCTTTCAGGCATTTCTTGCATTGTGGCAGGAATGAGTACATCTGTAAGAACCTTAATCACAGCAAAAGAGAGTTAACATAAAACCTTACTCAATATTTCTAAAGAGACACACTTACTCTTTGTCAGCTACTTTTTATTCTGAACTTTCTAGAGAATAATATGTTAACTCATTTCTGAAAGTTATACTTTTATCTCTAAAATGAATGTATATGTGAACTGTGTATGTGTGTTTGTGTGTGTGTAAAAGGCAAGGGGAGGGGTATATAGAAATATTGCCATGCCAGTTAAGCAGGTGACATGAATATACTGAGTACAGAGTGTTAGTTTCCAGAACATAAAGAACACTGAAAAGAAAGGGCTAGACTGACTGAACCTTAAACATGGGTGAGATGATGAGTAGGACCTTGATGAGAACAAGTGGAAAGAAAAAATTAGTGCTGACTGATACCAACTCAGGAGAAACTGATAATAAAGGAGATGGGTAATCAGATAGGATATGAACAATACAGATCCCTTGGGCTGGCTCATAAACTGAGTGGGCCAGTCTGGGGATGAGGACCAACAGGGTTACAGAAGACATTTCAAAATGAGAGTAAACACTCACTACAAATGCCTGTGTAGCCTACTAGAAAAACGCACATGTAGTCCATGTATGTGAAACAGTAAAACCAGACAGTATTGTAGATGCGCAGTATGCTCGTCACCGATGAACTGGCCTTGGTGATTATATACAGTTTTAAGGACTAAAAGCTGAGCAATCTCTAGAGGTGGGATGAAGGTCTTGCCAAAACTCATGTTACAATACACTACTCTATTTACAGTGCTCACTGTGGGGAAAACTTTGTGTATGGAAAGGTACTTAGACTCTGGACTTTTGTGCTGAAGGCAAAGAAATAGACCATTTGGCAATGGGGAAAGCCATGCTTTACGGATATTTTTTGGAGGTCTGAAAGATAGTAGGAACAGCTTTACCTTGCTGCTGGTAAATGTGTGTGTGTGAGCCCAGGTCTTATACCCACTCTTGGAACCACCTGCTTTCACCTTTCCGATTACTTCCTCATGTCTTAAACATTGCAGATAATCAGTGCAAACTGAACCATTTCTCTCTACATGATGATATTCTTATTTGACCCAGAGAAATGAGACAATCCTTGCCCTCCTTTCTTTTCCTTCAACTTTAACTAAAGGTAGAGAATATACAGCACTTACTCTATGCTCTTATCCTGCAGTAAGGAAGAATGGAACAGAGGATGAAAATATGGTCTCCCTCATCCTAGGTCAAGCCCACCTACCAGTTCTGGATGTGCAAAATTGCTTCTGGACTGTTTAGTGTCTGCTTTATTTCTCTGCAAAGTTGAGAATGTAATAGCAGCAACTAACTTAGATGGATTATTCCTCTGAAATACTTAACAGGGCTCCAGCTTGGGTTTTCTTGCTTACCCAAATTCTTAACATGTTTTAAAAGGAAAGCTTTTGTTTTTCCTTATGACAATTGAACAGGTTAATGCAGATAGACTCAATTCAAAATACCCAAATTGTAATATAGTTTTCTTCCTCAGCTTGGACCTCTATGTACTCTCACTTGGGAACAGATTTCCTGGGGGAATTAGCTCTACCCTCTTTCCAGCTGAATGGCTGGTTTTGTGGCCAACCATTTCCTCTTTGCTTTCAATATCCTTCCTGATCCTTCCGTAGACACTTAGGGACTCTTATTTGGCTTAAAATTCATCATTAATGCATTAACATTAGAGATTTCCAGATTTTTCAAGTTATTAGTTCTGTAAGAGTGCTTAATTCTGCTTTCCCCAAACTCTGATACTATTTATTCTGAAAACATCTTAGACAGTTAATAAAATTATGTAAGTTTTTACAGAAGTGTGTCACATTTAGAATCATTCTGAGCTGTAAACAGAAACTGATTTTTGTATTACTTAATATAAATTTACATTAAAATACATTCACTATTACATCCATACTATTAAGCTGATTGCTTTCTAATCAGAAAAAATTAATAGTGTATCTCCAGCTAGAAATAACAAATTTATTGAAAACATATTGAAAAGTTTAGATGGAATGAGAAATATATGTTTAAGTCATCCTAAAGAGCTTACCTTATAAAGAATTGAGTCACAAACACAGAAAATGTCAATTATAACTGGGTTTTCAAGCAGGGGAAGAAGATGATCAGGCATTCCTTGCCAAAAGTGTAATAAGAAATGCTGAATCTAGTTGAGAGCAAAGAGTACGTACATTAACATTTTTCCTTAACGTGAAATTGTATGAAAAACAAGAAAAGAATATTTATATAATACAGTCAGCAAAGTGTTCTTTATTACTCTTACCTCCTCAAAGTTTCCATTTATTGCATTGTCCAAGATGCACTGGCAGTGAGTTTTGTACATCATTATTAGGGTATCAACCTATATCAAGGAAGAAAAATCTTATCAAAAGCACCCTCTCAATGCTGCCTTCATTTTGTTCATGCATACATTTGTTCATATATTCAAACACATCTTTAAAATTCCTGTTATGTACCAAGCGCTGTGCTCAGTGCCAAGGAAACAAAGGTAAACGTGTAATTCTTATTATAAGGAGCATACTGCCATGTGGAGGGAGAAGGGTGAGCAAATGGATAGCTGCAGGACAGTGTGATAAGAAACACGAAAAAAGTGATTGTTCAGGGAACTATCAGTCAAAGCGACATTGTAGTTTTCTGCTTAATAAGAAAATCTCCTTTGATTGGAGAAATAAATGTAAAATGGTAACATACAGTAACTCTTCACACAGTTTTATTAAGCAGGTGCGTGGGCAGGGTGGTGCAGTGGTTTCCAGTTTCGGTTGTGGAGTCAGTTAACACCGAACGTTGGCTCCACCTCACTGTTTTGCACAGGTTGCTTTGTCTCTGACCCCAAGCTTTATATCTTCAAGTAGTAATAACATATTACTTATAAGGTGTTGAAGAAGATAAAACAAGACGTGATGCATATGGAACAATTTTACTCATGCAAAGTATAAGATCTTACTGTATTACCTCAAATTACTAATAACATCAAATGACTCGTTGGCCAAAAAAATATTTCAACATTAAATGTCTGTTACAAAAATTCTCTATTTCCATGTATATACCAGCACTTGTATCCACAGATAGAAAATCTTAAACATCTTACAATTTGCAGAGGGTTAGAACTTGCTAATATTCTGGCAAACTAGGAACACCCATGTTCAAAACATCTTTATTTTTATAAGCTAGAAATATTCCTACCTGTTACAGGGTGTGTGTTCTGTGTGAACAGGGGAACAGGCTTAGATGTTAGAGGTGTGAACTCTGCCTGCAGGATACCTGGATTTGAATGCTAGCTCTCATCTGCCACTTAGTAGCTATGTGATGTTGGGTAAAGTACTTAACATTTATGTGTTTTAATTTCCTCATCTATAAAACGGAGATCATAAAAACAGTAAATATCTAATCAGGTTGTTATGAGGACTAAATAAATTAACACATGAAAGTGGCTGGAGTAATCCATAATACAATGCTATGGTTAACTATTTTTATCTTTATAGTATCTAGGGTGGTGATGGTGACAGGGGTGTCCTACTCCAATTCTTTGCTCTCCAACTTTTATCCCTGCAGCCCAGCGACATCAGACATCTTTGTGGTTTAGTGTAAAGCTGTATAATGATGGCATGCAAATTACCAATCTACCTCTAAGGAGGTATGCTGACTACACTCCTCTGCCAGGATATGTCACCACTGATGCAAATGAAATATGCTCTTTACCTTAAGCAACAATTTAATATTTTCAGATGGACCGCAAGACATAGTTTTAAATGAGGATAAGAACAGCATGAATGATAGAAAGGAATTAATAACTGTTGTCAAAAATTAACCCTTTGACCCCTGAAAGCCACTAAAGAACAAGTGAACGTTTATCTTCACAAGTGTTTCCATTTATTTGTGTCAAAATTTTTTTCTTCTATACAGACAGCATCAGAAATTTCTTATCATTGGTACTTTGTTTATTTAATAGTTACACAGTCTAGGGTAAGAACTTTGCATTGTAGCATACTTTGCAGTCTTTATAAACATAATTTTGCTTAATTTTCTGAGAACATACATCACATTACAGAGGGTAGAATCAGAGGCAAGTCTTCGCTCTAGTCAAGTCAGTGAGCAAGTCAGGGGGTAGCAACTGTCTTGAGTGATGCTCTGCTGGGGGCAAAAACAGGTCCCTCAGCTTCAGCAAACACCGCTCACTGGGGTCGGCTTCTCACTAGGCAGCCTCCATCATATCTGCCTCAAGAAAGTAGGTGCTTGAAAGTGTTCAGCTTCAGCCACACCCCTCTTTCTACAAACTGACATGTTACCTGGGGAACTTGGCTACTGGCTAGGAAGGTAAAAGGCAGGGCCCAGCTGTCCTCAAAGGACAAAGGGAAGTATGGGGCTCATGATGGGGGCCACTGGGAATGAATTCAGAAACCAGAGGTTATTTAAGCATCTTGAATACCGAGTGAGAAATGATCTACAGACCAGTTTTTCAAGTTGACAGATAAGGAATTCCTTGGAGGTTAGCAGAGAAGGCTGAAATAAACTACTGGAACATGTTCCTCACTTCTTTTTTTCTTTGTTACTCTCTCCGTCAACCCTCCTCACCGGGTATATTTACACAGTAAACATCTTCTTGATATGTTTGCATGTGAGCCATCCTCTCCACAAAGGTGAGCCAACAATACCCTCCCCCAAAGAACTGTGTTCCCCAAGGTCCCGCAGATTTCCACAAGTTCCCCCACAAATTGTCACATGTTAACATTTACTGGAGGTGTCTTCAATCTGAAGTCATAATATCATATTATTTCCATAAGGTTAAAAGATGATGTGATGACCGTGAGAAATATGATGGGAGAGGAGCATAGTAGGAAGCAGACATACTTCAGGAGGCTTGCCTGGATCTGAGAACTACCTTTAATATTTTGCCTGTTCCTAACTGGGAGAATAAGTCTGTCATTATGATAAATTAGAATGAAGTTACTGTGCATCTCTACTTATCTATGAATAGACCTTTTTAACAGTGCATCATTTTTATTTCCAGTTTCTACAAATGCCCATTACTAAATACAGCTGGACATTGTTAATCATATTCATCTGTCTCTGCACCTTAAAAATATGAACTGACTTAAATATACTGTGAAAAATATTTTCTCAAATGCTAATAGAAAATAAACTTTAGTTGAAAAGAATGCAGAAATCTTTATGCTCTGATATAATAATGGATCCTGCTATTAGTCAGCCAGCAGATACCCAGCAAATGCCTCTAGAAGTTTAGAAATAGAGGAGCATTTAGCTTTAGACTTTACTACACAAGCATTGAAATTTATTTTATAAACTGAAGTTCAGGAAACTGTTTCTTCTTTAACTTTCAAAAAATTTTGCAACAGAGCATAAAGTTTTATAATTGAGAAGAATCTTTGGAATCTTCAAGTAAGGTCCTTCCATTCACCTAGGTATCTCTCCCTCAGTGATAGGAACAAATTCTGTCCTAGAGAAGTGGTTGATGACTAATTACTGAAATGAAATGGTGCTAATAGAAAAATATAACACTTAAAATGAAAGAAATTGCACATGATAGGTACATTCTAGGATTTTCTTCCTTGATACTGAGTTTTAAATAAAAAATAAACTTTAGTCTTTTGAGGTTTATTTTACCACCTTCTGATAATATACTATCAGGGAGATGGTAAATAATTAATTGGAAAGTCCTGAATCAATGTTAGTAAACATTTGTCCCTCCTATAAATCAGTCAATTATGTTTGATTATGCAGATTTCTGTTTCCCACGAGTGCCATGAGATTCCCAGCAAATTGAGATATGAAACCAACATATCAGAAAATCAATAGAGAAGTATCTTTAATTGATACCTTGTCCTTAGAAAGGCATCCTTGGTACACAAAGTGTTGAGCACTGGGGAATTCTGGAAGAAGTGTTCCAGTTTTTGAGCTAAGTGAATATTTACGAGTGAAGCCACCCTATAATTTAAAAAATGAAAAGAAATATATCATTAGCAACTATTTGATAATGACATACAATTCTACAACATACAATTCTAACAATATAGAAACCTGAAAAATTTCATTCTTTATCTTTCAAACCACAAGAAGTCAGGAGGTTTGGGTAAACTGTTTATTAGATCAAACACCTGGATAAACTAGATATTTCAGCAGAATTACTGTTGCCAAATCATACATAGTTTCATAGTCTGGGCATTTTTCTTTTACTTCAGACTTTAGTTTTAAACACTTTCAGTTTTCACAGCTTTTAGAAATTTTAGTTTACAAGTTTACATTTGTTAATGACATGTTTTAAGAGCTACTTTTAGACTACTGAAATTACTTTAATATGAAAGGGTCAGAAATTGCCAAATTCACTTATGAATTACCAAATCATTTATGGATTAAATAAATGAGATGGTAAGAAGTTTAATTTATTATGCCTCATTGACAATTAGTGGTAAAATTGTGATTAAATACTAATTCTTCAGATTTCCAAACTAATACTCAGGATTTTCTCATCTCAACCTCCCTCCCTCTGCCAAATTCAGGTACTTGTTCTCTTTTGAATCTTTTGGAACGCACCCTTCAAAGGTTGGAAAAGGAAATAGCAACCTACTCCTGTATTCTTGCCTGGAAAATCCCATGAACAAAGGAGCCTGGTGGGCTATAGTCCAAAGGGTTGCAAAGAGTCAGACACGACTGAGCCACTAAGCAACCCTCTGGTAGTTTTCCGAAAATCAGAAAAAGTGACAAATAAGTAACATATAATATTGCAATTCTAATGTACCTACAAGAAACCCACACATAAAGAGAGAGTAAGAATACATAGTCATGATGGAACCAGAGCCTTAGCAAAGGCTTCCCAGATGGCTCAGTGTTAAAGAATCTGCCTTTAGCACTGTTAGGAGATGTAGGAGATGCAAGTTGGATCCCTGGGTTGGGAAGATGCCCTGGTGGAGGAAATGGCAACCCACTTCAATATTCTTGCCTAGGAAATCCCATGGACAGAAGAGCAGGGCGGGCTACAGTCCATTGGGTTACAAAGGGTCAGATGACTGAACATGCACGCACACACTCATAGGTCACAACTGATTGTTGGTTTTGTTTGTGGAGAATACCTACATATATTAACATTGATGAATTACAAAACCTAATCTTGAATGAAACCGGAAAGTCATAGAAAAAGTGAATTCATTTTTATGTAGGGCCAATAATAAATAAGGAATTGGTGATAACAAATTGGACAATGATAAGCAATATATAATATTTACTATTTTAATCATTTTTAAATACACAGTTCAGTGGTACTAAGTACAGCCTCACTACACTGTTTAATATTGATGGTATACATTCATAAGTGATAAACTTTAATGAAGGACAAAGGAGTAATTAACACCAAATTCTGTGAGTAGTAGTGTTTGGTAGGGACAGGAAGTGATTGTGGTGAGGGCACAAAGAGGACTTCTCTTTTAAACAAGGAGGTAGGTCATGAGTTTTTATCTTATGCTTATTTTTAAAACTCCATGTGTGTGCATATGCTACTATAATATATTTCCCAATAAAAATGTTAGAGTGCTATGGAAACACATATTAAAGAACAGAGTATATGTCTTTTAACTATTATTTAAAACTCTCATGCTGATAAATAATAGTTTTGTGATAGAAGCTAGCAACACATGGAACATCAACAGGGGGAAGAGTGCCTAAAGAAAAAAATTCAAAAATTAAATTTGCCTGGATATGTTAACAAATGTGTACAAAGCTGGTATAAATTAAATGATAATATTCTGTCTAGAACCTATAACACAAAAGAAAGGAGAGATTGATAAAACTGGGAAAAATTAGAAGATGTTCATTTTAATTCCACTAATAGGTTTTCTATTTTAATTGCACTAAATGAGGTGCCAAATCTTAGACCAGCAATGGAGGTCTGTTTCTTTTTCTATTTTTTTCCTCTCAACTGATGACTTCACTACTCTTGGTTGAACGATTAGGAATCTTATTTCCAAAAGAAAACAAGAAGGAACCTACAGAAAAGAAACAATATGATTAGAAGCAAGAGGGTCTGATTTATGAGGAAAGATTAAAGGATTTAAGCTGCACAGTTTGGTTAAGTGATGACTAAAAGAGAGCATGATAACAGTCTACAAATATTTGAAAAGCATATACCAAGGAGAGAGGATTTGCTATTTATCTTGGTACAAAGTTGTTAAACTGGTCATGAATGGTTGATATTAAGGAGAAGGCTATCAGGGAAACTTCCTGGTTGAAATGTATGAAATCAAGGGACTATTCCCTAGGAAATAATGGCAACTTCATTACTAGAGCCACTGAAAATAAAATTGGACCCACACTGGAAGATTCACAGGAAAAGTTTTCTTTGACCAGAACAAAGTATTAAAACTAGGTTTCATTTGTTTATTTATTCCTGGCAATTAAAGGGTTCTGAGACTTTCTCTAAGATATTTTTGAAATGTGAACCACTATATTTATGAATAAAACATTTTAAGCAATCAAAATTCATACTGCTGGCTGATAATGAGTCTTAATTTACTCTCCATGTTTTGTTTTGCTTTTGTTGGCATTGATTTTGTTCACTTTTATATTATGAGTCATTTAAAACTTAAAAGAAGGTATATATAAAAAGTAAAAATTACTCATACTTACCATCTTGAGACATCAGACATTTGAAATACTAAAGTGGCCTCTGTCACGCTCTCTAATTTCATTCCCATCCCCCTCATAAGGAATAATTAACGTTCTGGATTTGGTTTATATCATTACTATACAAACCTTTAAAAATTTACCTCATATGTAAATGCTTTTAAATAACATACACTATTTGCTTTAAAACTGGTACCATATAGTATGTATTTTTCTACATTCAATGAGCTTTTTTCACACAACTTTAAGTATTCGAGATGAACCTAATTTGATTCTTAAGACTATAGTTCACTCATTTCCAAAGCAGTGTAATATTTTCTTAAATGTATAAAATTTTGTTTTCCTACTATATCATAATAGAATTTTATTTTTTGGTATTCTGAAATCATAAACAATACTGTAATGAACATCCACATGCATGCTGTCTTGTGCACAGTGTGAAGGTTTCTCTAGGAAGGCAGTCATAATGTGTGTGAACTTTCTGTTTTATTAGGTATTGCCCCTTCTACCATTTAGAAAAGCTTCTTAGCTCCCATTCTTAACAAGACTATATTTTCATAGTTTTAATTGCTGCTAGTTTAGTAATAGTAAAATGATTACTCAACAAGATTTTAATGTTCATTTTCCTGATTTAAAAATAGATATATATATATTGGCAGGGTGGTATTCAAAATATTTACTGACTACACATTATAGAGGGCTTCCCCAGTGGCTCAGTGGTAAAGAATCAGCTTGCAATTCAGGAGCTGCAGGAGACACAGTTTCGATCCTTGGGTCAGGAAGATGCCCTGAGGAAGGTTATGGCAACCCACTCCAGTATTCTTGCCTGGAGAATCCCATGGACAGAGGAGCCTGGTGGGCTACAGTCCACGGGGTCGCATAGAGTCAGACATGACTGAAGCGACTTAGCATGCACGCACACACACATTACAGAACCTGGTCAATCAGAACAGGCACCATGAGCACCAACACTATATATGTCATTCTTTTTCATCTTGGGTGACTTGCCTGTTCACATACTTTGCTGCTACTAAGTCACTTCAGTCGTGTCTGATTCTTAGCGACCCCATGAACCGCAGCCTACCAGGCTCCTCCATCCATAGGATTTTCCAGGCAGGAGTAATGGAGTGGGGTGCCATTGCCTTCTCCAGTTCACATACTTTACTATATTTCTACTGGGTTGTCTTGTTATTGGGCTTCTCTGGTGGCTCAGATAATTTTTATTAGAGTTAAACACACTCCAAAACAGTGCCATCTCATAGAACTTTCTGGGATGATGAAAATGTTCTATTATCTGCATTGTTCAAATACAATATTCACTAGTCAGCACTTGAAATGTAAATAATGTGACAAAGAAACTGAATATTTTATTTTATGTAATTAATAGTCATTTGTGGCTAGTGGCTACCATACTGCATAGTATTTGTAGATATTAATCCTCTATCTTATATATGATATATATCCAGTTTTATGTTATACATTTTATGTATTTGAAACCATATAAACATATATTTGTTTTTGCATCCTGTTTTGCTTCCTAACACTTCTCCATGTCATTAAAAGTGTTAATAAATGATATGATATTCAGTCCTATAAAAGTCTTACAAATTATTCAACGATTCTTTATTATTAGTCAGTTAGATTGATATGTTTTACACCATAGTCAATAACAATTTTGTACATAATATTTTGTTTGCATTTTCTATTATTTCTTTATGTGAGATTCATACAAAGGTGAAATTAGTTGGAGGAAGAGTATGAACACTTCTAAGATTTGAACATGGATCTTGCAATGATCTTTCAGAAAATTTGTTCTGTCTTCACCAGCAGGATATGAAAGAGCTTATCTCACCATACTTTTACCAGCTTAATAATAATTTTTATATTTGATAATTTCATTATTTAAAATATTAATTTAAATTTATTTGGTAGTTCATTTTCATGCATTTATTGGCCTTTTCTTCCTCATGTATTTTCTTTATTCATGTCTTTTTAAAAAATTGTTATTGAAGTCCTTCTACTTTTTAAATAAATTGGTAGTATTTCTTCATGTAGTAGAGATATTATCCTATTGTCATATTTGCATGTGACAATGGAATAATATCTTCCCATTGTCTTTTTTGACTTCAGATTTTGTGTATGATACTTTGATTTAAAGAATTTTTTTCAATTTCATGTTTTCATTTATTTCCCTTTGAAATTTCTTAAATTGTTTTCATGCTTAGAAAGTTATTCCCCCTTCAGAAATGAGGTAGATATATTTCCTTCTAATTATTATTTTTGTATTTAATAACATATGAACTTCATAAAGATATGAGCTTTAAAAACTTTTTTCCAAAATAGACCATTTTTCTAACATCATGCCCTGAAGAATTTTATTTGGTACTCTCTCTTCTTCTATAAAGGAATTATGAAAATTCATTGAAAAATACTTTTTCCTTCATTGGGTATAATGTGTCCTCGATCACACACTAAATTATTACGTACACTTCGGCCTTTTTTCAGGTTATCTAATCTCTGCTGTAGATTTGTACTACCTACATTTGAGTTAGTATAATAGTGTCATAATTTTGATATCTGCTAGACAAGTCTCCTTTGATTATTCTTCTTTATACTTCTCTTAACTATTACTTCCTGTATATCCTTTGCGCATGCATGCATGCATGCTCAGTCACTGAGTTGTGTCATATTCATGTGACCGCATGGACTGTAGCCCGCCAGGCTCCTTTGTCCATGGGATTTTCCAGGCAAGAACACTGCAGTGAGTTGCCATTTCCTACTGCCGGGAATCTTCCCCATCCAGGGATTGAACACGTGTCTCTTGCGTCTCCTGCATTGGCAAGTGGATTGTTTACCACTGAGCAACCTGGGAAACCCCATATATCCTTTTAGATCAAGTTAATTTCCAAAAGTAACTGCTCATTCAAATTTTTAAATAGAGTATTAAATGTCTAAATTTAAGGAAGAATTGAGACAGGGTAGCCATTCCCTTTTTCAGAGGATCTTCCTGACCCAGGGATTGAACCTGGGTCTCCTGCTTTGCAGGCAGATTCTTTACCATCTGAGCCACCAGGGATGCCTTTTCTTTTGATTACTCCCAAATATTTTGCATTTCTGCTGTTTCCTGAAATTTACATTTTACAACTTTCTACCTTTCCTGTCTTCCGCAGAGACTGTTCCAACCTCTCTCAACAGGGAATCTGTGAGAAAAGTTCCATAGAAAACAATTTGAATGACCATTTTCTCAGTTCTCCCAGGGAAAGCACTTGGCTAGCACAATTCCAGATGCCTAAAAGAGCTTATTCCCTACATACAATGGATGCCTTGGGGGCATCAAGACTACATTCTCTCTGGAAATCCTGACTGAGAAGAGCTGGGACTTCAAAGTTCTTCAGACTTCTACAACCCCCTACCGAGATTTCACTCACAGAAAGTGACCTGACTGCTGATACCTCAGAGAGAAAACCAAAACCACCAAACTATCTCAATTTCCTGCCGCAAAATCCACAAACCCACTTCATCTGAACTAACCCATTCCTCTTTCCAGTTTTAATGAAATAAATGTCCTTCTCTCTAGGGCCACTTCCTCCACTCCAAAGCTCTTCCTTGCCCATCTCTTCGTGACCCTGTACTCTTGACTCTTTCACGTCTTCAGTCTCTACTCTTTACTGACTATGTTTTATCAACATTAGAACCATGGTTCAATCTTCCTTTTGAACTAATTGTCAAGCCCACCCCTATCCTGACTAAGTTTTCTACATTCAATTCCACTTGCCCACTCATTTCACAAATCAATCAAACACTAGCTCTCTCACAACTCTCAAACCCTAGCACTGAAAATGCTCTCCCTGCAGTTATTGTCTGTACTTAACTTATTCCATAGACCTTTTCCAGTCTGCATCTTAATGACCCTTTAGCACCATTTGATAGCAGCAACCATTCCCTTCCCTTGGAATCACTCTTTTCTTCTGGCTTCTGTGCCTCTATGTTCTCCTTTCTCCTCCCTCTCTGGCTTCTCCTCTTGTTCTTCTTTCCCACTTTTCACAACTCTTTTCTCATAACGTTTTTTTCTTCTCATTTATTTTATCCCTAAATGTGTTTACCTTTTACCATGACTTCTATCACCATCAAACTAAATACCTAAATCCTCTCATCCAGTCATATATATATCCAACTGCTCACTTCAAGTATACACTGGATATTTTATAAACACATCAAATATTTGTTGTTGTTCAGCCACTAAGTCATGTCTGGCTCTTTGCAACCCCACAGACTGCAGCAAATCAGACTTCCCTATTCTTTACTATCTTAGAGTTGGCTCAAACTCATGTTTGTTGAGTTGGTGATGCTACACAACCATCTCATCCTCTATCACCCTCTCCTCCTCTCACCCTCAATCTTTCTCAGGATCAGGGTCTTTTCCTTGGTGGCTTCCCTGGTGGCTCAGATGGTAAGGAATCTGCCTGCAATGCAGGAGACTTGGGTTCATTCCCTGGGTCAGGAAGATCCCCTGGAGAAGGGAATGGCTACCCACTTCAGTATTTTTGCCTGGAGAATTCTATGGACAGAGGAGCCTGGCAAGCTACAATCCATGGGGTCACAAAGAGTTGGACACAACATCAAATATAGCAAGTTCCAAACTGAGCCCTTTGTCTTTCTACCTGCTTCTCTTCCAGTACTTCCTGGCTAAAATCAGTCATTTCTCTCCATCCTTTGGGCTTTTATCCTTATTTGGATATTTTCTTATCCAGATTATCCATGTATCTATAGCATGATGCTCCTTTTGTTTGCCTTCCTGCTTGCTGGTTTTTAATATCTGGCAACATCAGAGACATTTTTGGTTTTCACAGTGAGGTGGAGGGACAGCTATTGGATTTGAAGGATAGAAACCAGAGACTCTGTGATGTTGAAATATCATACAAATGCACAGAACATCTCCCACTACACAAAATTATCTGGCCTAAAATGTCAGTGGTACAAAGGCTGAGAAATCCTAATCTATGTTCTATCTGTCTGGACCACTCTTCTCCTCCTCCAAAATCCTACTTATCTCAGCTCTATCTTTAAATGTTACTTCCTGTGGGAAATGTCTTTAATCACTTATACTAGGTTAATCCTCAAGACACTCTTTATAATTAGTTATGATCACTTGCTAAAGGTATGTTTTTCTGCTACACTGCATAGGATCAAACTTATCCATTCACAATTCTGTTCCCTCATACCTGTAATACCACATATCTATCAATTAACATTTCAACCATGGGTTTAAAAAATAGAATTTTATTTTGAATTTGTAAAAAACCAAATATATCTCAGTTTCCTTAGCTGCAAATTGGCAATATTATTACCTATTTTCCCTACCTCACCATCCTTAATGCTTAAATGACCTGAAGGATATGAAGATTTCCACTGAAAGTCTCATATCCTGAGCAAACTGATGGTTGGTCACTCCAAATACAAAACAATTTTTTAAAATTTCAACTTTGTTAAACAAGTATCTTATCATAATTTTAAAAAATTACTTAGACTCACTGGAAAAGACCCTGATGCTGGGAAAGATTGAGGGCAAGAGGAGAAGGGGGCAACAGGGGATGAGATGGTTGGATGGCATCACTGACTCAATAAACATGAGTTTGAGCAAGCTCCAGGAGATAGTAAGGGACACGGAAGTCTGGCATGCTGCAGTCCATGACCCCATGGACTATATATACCCAAGTTTTTATTGTGCTCTTCTAAGGAGGAAGAAGTAGACATGAGAAAAATTTTTCTTTTACTTGATAAAGCAAGGCTTGCCACCTGCATACTGTGCCAGCTAATGGACTGATGGTACCAGCAGCTCTACAAAACAGTAGAAGGAACACCTGAGAGAAATGATTTAAACTCCCTATTGACATAAACTTCAGTCAACTGAAGTGTATTTCTAAGTCAATATTTTTGCACTTTCACAACTGTTTATCTAATAAAGAGCTATTATTTCATTGATAAAAAAAGCAATCTGGAGGATTTTATTATGTAATTAGCCATTAACTATATTAAAAGCACTCGTGGGAAGAAATTGGTCATTTCAGAAGATTGGGGGTTTTTATATTATTTCTTAATATGTTTGTATCATTTCACCAAACTAATGGAGTTACAATTTACCTCAGGTCCAGATGGACCACACAACACATTGTTATGGGCCCAGGATTCTGTGGCACCTCCTTTAATGACTAGTTAACTCGAGGATAATGAAGACCTGATCATGTGCCTAATTAGCCATGCAGTCTCTAATGGTAGTTTAACTCATTTAGATAAAGTCAGTTTGTTGATCTGTTCTTTGGTTGGGAGTGAGAAGGGGGAGGGGAGTCTACAGAGAAAGTGTGTGCTGGGTGAGAAAGTATGCTGTGTGTGTGATAGGCCCTGTCTCCTTAGCTCCCACTTCTGCCACACCCCACTGTCACCCCCAGTGCAGAAGACAGCAGCAAAATCACACACACACACACACACACACACACACACAGAGAGTAAAACATCACAGCATAACATTTGGGTTCTTGACAACTATTAAAGGTTTTGTCTAAACAGCTATATATACTCCAAACACCAGTTTTTTCCATATCCTCAGCTTTAGGCTTTTTTTAAATTTAAATAAAAATTTCTTGGATCAATGGTGGTCTTTTAAAAAATACTCTTTCAAGTGTCTAATATTAGGTGAGAATAATTGAAAAATTCCCCCCTGCTAGGTTAATTGGAGGTTCAGTAGGTCCATGTAAAGAATCGTTAGTTGCCCCAAATCTAATTTAACTCTGAAGTGCTCAGCCATTCAAGGGACTCTTAATAAATAACATTTATTTCTATATTTGCCAATAAAGATGAATAACCCTATTGTTAAGCTTGTAATACATGTTATAACTGATATACAATATAAATGAAAATAATTCTTACCTCATTCTTCAGCTTGCTTCCAGAAAACCTTAAAAATCAGAACATTTTTCAGTAATTAAAAATATATATACAGTTATAGCTACCAAGGAAATGCAGAGGACCTACAAAAGTAGTAACTTTATACCACGACTAGTGAAATAAATCTAGAGAAATGTGTTTGATTTTCAGAGGGACCCAAGATTCTAAGGGAAAGTAGAATAAAGGATATTGAGCAGAGTCAGGTAAGAATTGAGACAATGAAGGCACACAGTATTAAATATTTGTGTGTTCTAGCCTGTATTTTCACTTCACAGCAAGCAGTGGTTAATAAGCTGCCATTATGTTCTCTGTAGTATCTGAGTTCATCTTAGTATGACTCAGGTGACTAAAATTATTTGCTTTTCCACAAGATATCTTACTTTTAAAAATAAATCATTCTTTTGAGAGTTAAGAGCAGTTCTTGGTAAATCATACCATGAAGAAATTTCGGATGCAGATTTAATCATTTGGAGTTCTAATATTTTAAAAATTAATAATTGCATTGGATGCCACCTTACTTGGCAATAACATAGTCCTGAAAGTTGATGGCAGATTAGAGCAACATGTTCTTTATATTCATTTGTATTTTTTCCTTCACAGAGACTTGGTAGCTGGGGTCAGTAGCTTTATCATACTAAAGTAAGCTGGTATATTAGAGCATATGTGACTAGAGATGAATAAGCTTTTCATTTTCATAAGATACTGGCCAAAGCATCTTTAAAGCAGGTTATCTCATAGAAAAAAATACATTTTCTGCCTTTATTTTATTGAATCTAGCTTGAAAACCAATTTAGCCTTATAAGCAAATATTAATTTAAAAGCAATTCTGCTTCCCTGGTTTCTCTTTTACATCTCTCTGAGACACCTGGCTCACCATTAATTTCTCATTAATGGCTACAAATTATATAAATTGCCCAGTCATTGTAAGTGTCCATACAAAGTTAAAATTAAGGTCTGATGCTTAAAGGAAAACATTATCAAGTCATTTTATTCGATATATATTATTTAAGGACATTCAGAGAACTTGTCTTGAAGATAGCAGGACTCTACCTTGTCAGGCCTTTTCCAGAATAAACGGAGTGGTAATATGCACTACTCTCTTTGATGCCAATCCCATAATAATGATACCTAGAACAAGAACCAGCTTTGTATTAATATAGTTTTTTGAAGTGGAAAACTAAAGTAGAATTGAAGTGAATCACAGGTAAGAACTGCAGTCCCTTGATCATCATCTTCCTTTCCTGACTTTTTTCAAGTAACATCTTAATGTGTTTAATCCTTCTTTAACAGTAACTAACCCTACTTATGCTTATATTTCTGGCTCTAAGCTTGAAAAAGAAGGAAAATCACCTATTGCCAATCCCTCTCAAACCTCTAAAAAATTGTTTCAAAAGCCAGAAAAAGGAAAAAAAAATGTAATTCCAGGCATTTAACTGTAGGCACTTAAATTTGTAAATGTAGACACTGGCTCTAAGTATATCCAGTGTATCTATCTACAAATTGCTTGGTTCAATTTGAATGTGGTCAATTGAAACAGAAAATGGTGGGTCTTCTTCATAGTACATCTGTTGAATGGAGAAGAATGTGACATTATGTGTGGGGAAGATGATGATGTCATGTATAGGAATATGTACAAAGTATATGACCCTTTAAAAGTTATTTTCCTCAGGAGGAGTGAAAAGCCCAATTCACCATCATTTTCACTTCAAGTTTTTGTGCAACAGTGGGGAGAAAACAACTATGTGATGAATCAGTGGAAATATGAAACATGGAATGTAACAGTGTGACAAACAATTTGTTATCAGTTTCCCTATGGAAACTGAAGTGAAGTGAAACTGCTCAGTCATGTCTGACTCTTTGTGACCCCAGGGACTGTAGGCCACCAGGCTCCTCCATCCATGGGATTTCCCAGGCAAGAATACTGGAGAGGGTTGCCATTTCCTTCTCCAGGGGATCTTCCTGACCCAGGGATTGAACCTGGGTCTCCCGCATTGCAGGCAGATGCTTTAACCTCTGAGCCACCAGGGAAACCCTATGGAACCTGAGACACAGGCAAATGTAGCATCCCATGGAATCTCAAGTTGTACCTCATTCTCCTCAACTGCAGAATCCTGACTTACTTCACACCCAAGTACAAATGCTGCACACAGGACACAAACACCAGTTGGACAGTGGGTATTTAGTGAGGGTGGCCAAAGTCTGCTAATTTCTGCCTGCACTTTCCCTTCCCTTCTCTGTCTACCACACAGCACCATTAAATATTTGGTTATCTACCATTTCAATCTGCATTCATCTAAAATCAGGGAAGGAATGAAATAAAAGGATAAGGGGGCTTCCAGTAGACTTCACTGTAATCATATTTAAAAATTCATTTCGTAGCATTGCCATCTGAGTTTAAAGTGGAGAAGACAATGGAGGATCTATGCTTCAAGGCCCCTTTGCTGACCTCAATAATAAAGAAGGGATTTGGCAGAGTAACTCTAACCCCAAATGTTTTCAAGTCTCAGGACAAGAGTACAAATGGAGGCCCACAGGCCTTATACCTAATTACTTAAAATACATAAATCGAGGGAACACATTGTGAAACAAAATGTCCCTGTCCTCCTGTCTTGACAGTATACCACCATAATGGTCTGGTGGGTAGGTCTGAACTTAGAACGCCTAGACTCCTGAAGTTCCATGAGGAAACATGGTGGTGTGAGAAGAGCCGTCCCCACCTCACCTCTCTCCCCAGCCTCCGCTCCTGTTCACTGTGAGGGGCTCCTTGAGACCACTTCAGCCTCCACATCCAAGATCCACCCTCACACACACCTGGACAGCTGCCCCTGAGCCACCGAGCAGGTCTGTCTCTTGAGGATGGATGAGGGAAGAGGCCTACATAGGTCCAGGAGGCAGGCCTGAGGCTGTCTGGAGCTCTTGGGCCCCATGGCCCTAAAATGTGGGCTGGAAGGGGCGTGTGGTCTCCAGGTGGACACATCCATATGGGCTGTGAATTCTTTATCTCCTGAGGAGACCAGCTGAAAGAGGGCAGAAACAGAGCCCTCTGTAAGTGTGAGTCCCAGAGGTGGCTTCTCACCCATTAGGTTTTAAGGGCAGTATAGTGGTAGAGAAGATGCCTCTAATGACAATGGGCCATTTGAGATGGAAAAGAAAGCATTTCTAAATATGAAAAAAATTACATAATTGTAATAAGAAGTGCTTCAGAAAGAGCTGTTCTATTTGATCAAGGTAGTGAAGATACTTTATGAGTATAGCAGACTTGGAATAAGTTTTCAAGCCTTCAGTTTTGGCAGAAAAACAAAAGCAGTCTATTAACCTAAGGAGAATAAGCTCCATTTTTACAGTAAGAAAATAACCCTCTGGTAGATAAGGGTAAAGAACTTCTATGGTATATTGGGACAAAGAGAGAAATGAAGGAAATACGAAACTTCAGCAAACTCCAAAATTTTGAGTTTATTTGTCTCTAATTAGAAGCTAAAAGAAGAAAACTATTTAAATCATACATAAAGAAATTACTAAAAGCAGCTATAGTAATAGAAAATGATAAGGTAAATACCTAAAAACCATAACAAATGGACATATTTAGATGACATTCGGCCAAGCATATTAGGATTAGTTAGTGAACATAAGTCTGAAATAATTATAACTATTTTTCTTTTTTTTTCTTTCACTATTTTTCTTTTATTAGGTTTTATTGTATTGGGTTGAATAAAGCAAGAGATGCCTGAGAACAAGAGAAACTATTACAATGAAAATAACTGCAATTTCATGATCTTTAGCAAAGCTTGCTCTTTGCTCTATAGATGCCATAGTTCAAAAGACTTCACTAACACAGCATCGTAAATCAATTATACTCCAATTTAAAATGGATTAATAAAAACATCATTGTAGCCACTGTCTGAAGCAATACATGGTAAGCATTGCTTTAAAAGTTGATTGATCTTCCAGGTGGTGCTAGTGGTAAAAAAAATCCCCCTGTCGATGCAGGAGACCAAGAGACACGGGTTCAGTCCCTGGGTTGGGAAGATACCCTGGAGAAGGGCATAGCAATCCACTCTAGTTAGTATTCGTGCTTAGAGAATCCCATGGACGGGGAACCTGGCATGCTACAGTCCATAGGATCACAAAGAGTCAGACAAGACGGAGGCAACTTAGCACTCAGCAATCATTCTTTTATATAATTTGACCTTCTTGTTTCTCATCTATAATCCTTTTTCAACAGGTAAGTAATATTACACCACGATGAAATGATCTGCCATGTAAACGGAGAAGAAACTACATTGCCTTCACATGTGATAGACAAAATTTGTAAGACAAATCAAAGGGATAACCATGAGTTTAGCAAATATTAGATGGTACACTTATCCTGACCCCCACGGGAGCTGTCAATACAGTGATGAAAAACCAGACGTGGATGATCAACCAGGAACCTATTCGTTTCTGAATTTCACCCTGCTTCATGGCTTCTTGAGCCAGGCTGCCTGCCAGTCACAGAACAGTGACCACACTGAACAACCCTTAGGCAAAGTTTATTTTTATGTAAAAATATCACTTGATGATCACTTTTTATAAAAATTGCAACATACTTTAGGAACCCCCAAAATACCGAGTAACATGGATTTGTAATTCTTTTTTTACTTCAGATTTTTAAGGAAAGAATATTTTTATTACACAATTCATTTGTTCCTTATTTTTATAAAACAGCTCTTATTTTGTTTCCTCCCTTCTCATCATTAAGGCAGAATATCTTTAAAAATGGGTTTCCCTTGTTGCTCAGATGGTAAAGAATCCACCTGCAGTGCAGGAGACCTGGGTTCGATCCCTGGGTCAGGAAGATCCCCTGGAGGAGGGCATGGCAACTCACTCCAGTATTCTTGCCCAGAGAATCCCCATGGACAGAGGAGCCTGGTGCACTACAGTCCATGGGGTTGCAAAGAGTCAGACACAACTGAGCAATTAAGCACACACACATCTTTAAAAATAGAAGTATTTAATACCTCCACCTACAATGAGAATCAAGATGTTACCTCTAAAAAAAAAATCTTTTAAGTAATGTATTTTATTCATAGGTCACATATAAATGATACCATCAACGAGATACACACTGATACCTGAAGAAGGTAACTTGGTCAGCAATTTTCCACTCTACATGGGAGAAGCAGCCAGCCCCTTTCTCATTAGCAATGTCTCATAATTGAGACATGTTGAGGTACTTGAGCGTGTTACATGAGCACAACCTTATAAATATGCTGGACAACAAGGAACTAGTGAAAGAGTGAACACTCTTTCTTTCAAACATGTATCCAAGGCTTACTGTGTGCTAGGAGTTAAGGATACAGAAAGAGACTGATGAGGGTTTCTGCCCTGGGGGAGTGGGTAGTCTGGGGCGGAGGTGGGGGGGAAGCATGCAAAGAAAGAATTGCAATACCAAATTAACATGTGTTAAAACTGAAGCAGGTGATAGTCAATACTAGTGTAAATAGTTACAACTATTTATTTAATATTGAGCAACTATTACATGTAAAAAATTTTTACCTATACTTCACCTCGAAATTCCATAGCAGCCTGCAAGTAAAGTAATATCTCCATTTCAAAGCAAAGTTCAAAAAGATTATGTGATTTTTTGAACAAGTTGTGTGAAAGGTTATGAATTTGAAGACAAAATTCAAACCAGAAGCTCCACAGAGCACTCTCTGTGAGACCATGTTACCTCCATACCCAAGATACAAAATTACACTGCATCTTAATTTAATTTATAATTAGAAATTCTTAGGTGAAATAGAGTTCAAATATGCTTGCACTCAGAAGACACACTCCCTCTCCAACTTCACATTAATCATTAAGAATTAATAGCTAACTTGAATCATTAAGAACAATACCATTGGTCTGAATGTTTCATATTTGAAATTCTATATGTAAACAAATATACCCTCTAGAATATAAGCTCCCTATAAAGGGAAATCAATAAATATTTGTTGAATAAATACATTCGTCACATGAAAAAAGTTAAAAATAACAATGTGTCATAAAGAAAATGTTATAAACAAGAATTTGTTAATAAAGGGCATACATATAGTTATCATAGACTTAAATATAGCACAATTTAAAATTTGATAGAGATTAAATCT